CGAACTACACACTTTCACTTCGCGGCTGCATCTGCACGATTTGAGGATACATGTTTTTCCTTGAAGTCAGTAGTACATGCGTGCACATTGCAATATGTTTTATACGTGGGATTCTTTTGTACTCTTTGTATACTTTGTGGCTGCACAAAATTCATGTTGGAAAACAAACATGTCGGGTTTTATACTAATCTCTGGTGTTTGACTTTACCTATGAAACTTTAATGCACAGTAAATTAAAACAATAAACACAATTTAATCTAGTGCTGCAGGCGAACCGCTGAACTGAGGCAAAAATCATCAAACAAGGCACTTTTGAACTGAACCAAACTGTTCGGTTTGGATGTATGGCTTTAATAAGGCATTTCATCGATGGCACGCGGGAACACATAAAAGAAAACTTAATAAAAAACAAACACAACGAAAAATGGATAACGAGTTGTACAGCGTGCTCCACACCTGCGTGAACATACTAAAACTTACAATGGCCCGCATCATGAGATGGTTGTGAAAAGCATGTGGTGAGAATCACTCAGAAATCAGCCAAGAACATGCAACGTACGGCATTGTCGCTGCATAACATTTCAAAATTCTAACTACATCCAATCGTGCTCNATGTATATTCAGATTTATTATGATATTTGCCAATCTCCTATAGCCGCGCCCATACGTTCCAAACCTTGACACATACTTGCAGCACTATTTGATGCGGAGTTTGACTTTTTTTTATTACCTTCAAAGAATATGGTACACCTGACTGAAGTTCCAAATAAATTCATATTGTCTATGTGGATATTTCCTTTCAGAGACGATAGGTCAGGCGGTAAAAGGAGGCAACCATGTTTGGCATTTCCCGTCACGCCCGTATAAACGTATCTATTTTCCAGTCTAAAAAGCGCTTAAAGATGAACAATGATCTTGTGGCGATGTCTTTTTGTCATGAAATATGTTCAACTCAAAAAACTCAAAACGTTTCCAAAGCAGTTGATTTTCCCTCTCTATCACAAGGTGTTAACCACTAATCCTTATGGCCAGCCAAGGAAGGCTGACCAGGCCCACTGAAGTTCTCCTTTAATAGGATCTAGTCTTCACAACTACGGCTGTGTAAGCCACAAACTCCATTGTTGTCAGGGTTGCTCGTGAAGCTAGACAGTCCAGGGCAGATGGTTCTTTTCAAACCGTTGAACTGTTTCTTAACCTTTGTATTTTGACCTCACGCCTTATGCATGATTCCGGGACTCGGATATTACAAATAGTGAGATACTGCTTTTTGGGTCTGTGACTGTTGTACATTAGAGAACTTCCGGTTTTTATGTCTCCCATTTCAGTTTTATAAGCAATCAACCAGCGAAGGACAGGGGACTATGTTACAGTAAAATTTGAAGAATTTATTTCTGCTGGGTTGATTGTTTAGGAGACTATCAACACCGGTCCCTTTGTCATGCGGACGACCTGCCGGCAGTGCAGGGGCATGCGTGTCATCGTCACCGTCCCTTGTATGACCTGTCGGGGCGCAGGGACAACCATGCAACGCAAGAAGGTCACCGTGCCCGTCCCAGCAGGTAAGAAGTCATTGCATGAGAACGTACGCTGTGAAATTCTCCAAAGTAATCATTGGTGTCATTGTCTTGACTACTGCGTATCTGCAGTCTGCTTGGTGATGTCTCATAGTCTCATAATATGACGCATGTCGGCCGTTGCAGCAAAAATGAAAGAATTATGATACATGCAATAGCTTAAACACTCAACATGTAGCCAGTAATGCTGTAGCCCACTGAATATACACGGCATAAACTCAACCAATTCAGCGCAGATTGTTGCCATTGTAAACAGCCCTTACTTGGCATATTTGTGGCGGAATAGCTGAATAAACGTGTAGATTTATACTTTTTGTGGATTTTTTCTAGAATCTCTGTGGAGCTTTTACCTGCTTCCAGTTCATGCTTGCTGATTGGTTTTGGTTCTGAGCCTACACCAGGCTCAGAACAAAAAAAAAAATTTTTTAATTAAAAGTACAAAAAATTCCATGTTATGACAACAAAGGTTCAGTTCCCTCTGTAAAAACAGCTTTTTTTCTTTGAAGGCATTCCAGTGAAAGACATATTTCTGTTGTGGTTATTTAGTTTTCTTCTTTTGATTGTGTAAGGTGTTGAGGATGGCCAGACAGTCCGGATGCCGGTTGGTAACAGGGAGCTCTTCATTACGTTCCGCGTAGCCCGCAGCCAGACCTTCAGGCGTGATGGTGCTGACGTTCATTCCGATGTAACAGTTAGCTTCACCCAAGCCGCGCTCGGTGGCAGTCTCAAGATCAAAGGCATCTATGACAGTATCCACCTTAGTGTAAGTATAACTTCTGCAACACTGTATGCAACGTTCTTATTGCCCAAGTGGCTACATATTCTTTGCCCTCAAACTCCAACAATGATTTGTTATACATTATGAACTTGTTCAGCTTTGTTGGATTGAGGAACAAAGGCCAAGGGTGATGGTGTTGGATCTTGTTTAAATGGGAGCACACAGTGATAGTTCTGTGGAGTGACTGGCTGGTGGTACCTTGTGTTGGACTGTGCTTGATTTTGTTACTTTTGGTACAACCACTGTCAAGTCACCCCTGTACCACAGAGGTCCATGCATGCCAGATGACTGAAACTTTAACAGTGGCAACTTGATGGAGTTGAAGAGGTTCTGTCCAGTCATGTGCCAGTAATCCACCTTGAGCAGAAGCATCCCCTCATCAGTTGAAAAGGGCCATGTTGGTCGGGAGTGTTCATTTTGTTGGTGGCGATGCGACTGCACGCTCGCGTTTCATAGCCACTCGTAAACTATCAGAGTACAGTTCCTACCAGAGTAGCCTATGTTGCTAGGAAAATTGCACCCTCTCTTGGTCCAGCTGGGGGCTCATTACAGTGACTTGCTTGTATCTGTTAAAATCTGCGAATTTCAGTACGTTTCTAATTCAACAACCTAGGGGGATAGGGTTAATATATGTTACTGTCTAGCTGGCAGGCCTGGCTAGGTCTGTTGGTAGGGCACCAGTGATGATGTCACAGACACCAGCTCTTACACAGTTGTCTTTCAAGAGGGAATTGTGACTGGATACCACAAAATGAGTCTTAAGGCTCAGTTTCAGTTTGCAAGAGAAAGAGTAAACGGAGTTCTTTATTTTGATATATCACTCACTTTGGCATTCTGATGAAAACGAACAAGAGTACAAGTAGAGTACCGAAGTGAACACGTCACGCTCACAGTCATGTGTGTAAAAGGCAGGAACATGAGAACTAGGGCGTGAACAACGCGCGCGTACTCCATTCATTTGCACTACACTCCTTGGTTAACACTGACATCATGTTTCAGTACTCTATATGGGTGAAAAATGTGTGAGGGTTCCCATTGACCTACACTGTGGAAGATTCTTCTAAAGGCCTGTCATGCCGAGGTTGCCCCACTGACTTGTGACTCATTTTGTTGGGTTGAGTCGCAATTACAGGTCGAGTGACAAGTCTTGTCACCATTAACAGGGGATGAATGAAACCAAGGCAAACGTATTAGTTGAATAGCCTGAGACTTGACTTGAAATTGAGTGTCTTATAAGGACTTGTGGGGGACTCAGCTACACAACCCTGTTTCGCATCGGTCTCTCTCTCTGTCTTGTGACCATTGTCCATTCTGGTTTATTTGCTGGAAACTGTTGTGCGACCTTTCTAGGGCTTAGTCAATTTGAATAATTCACTATTCGAACATTGGACCTTCAATTCAATTGAATATCCAAATATTCGGTCTTACTTACAGGCAGATTGTTGATGGTTAAACCATTACAAAATCAGTTGCAATAACTCACACAATTGTACATTGTAATCACTGTAATAGCTTCTAATGTCTAGGAGTATCTCCAGCCACGATTTAAGAAAATTTAAAAGATGAGCAATACTTCTTGCCCTGTTAAATTTCTATTCCTTTTAAATTTTTTACTCATAATCTCCCAGGGTATATGTAAAATTATATTGAAATCACAGGATTTGCTACTGGTAGGGCTGCTGAATAATTTAGTTTTGAGTCGTAAGCTTTCTGTCGCTTTTCATTTGCATGAAACAAGCCTCTGTAGTGCAATTTCTCTCATTTAAAACAAAGGAAAATTCTCCCTTTTCATGAATTTTGCTTTCAAGTATTCAAATTCTGAAAATAATATTCAAATATTTGATAATTAGTCAAATATTTGGACATTCCGCACAGCCCTTGACCTTCCAGGTCCCATTATAGATAGTGCCAGAAATGGTTTGAGTCATTTTGGGCTACACCCTGTAAGACCCTCCAATGTTGAATGTTTGAAGGAACGAACATGTACATCTGCCCGGTTAAAGCGTAAAGAACTCCCTGAAAAGGACAGATGCAGAGAATTCTAACAAAAGGCATGTGAAACAAACAGCAGTTGGAGTTCTTTATTATTTTGTCCTTGTTAAATGCGGGCACAATTGATTTGTGACTATCCTGTATTTCTACAGATACCAGCAGGAACTCAGTCACATACACGGATACGTCTACCAGGTAAAGGCATCAGTCGCGTGAATGGTTATGGCTACGGAGACCACTATGTCCATATCAAGATCCAAGTACCTACGTGAGTACAAGGCTGTCACAACAAACCAAGTTTTTATTGGGGAAAGAATTTTTTCCATTCAGTGGCCAGTTGGCTTTGTTTTAAAGGGATGACGCTGCTGAGTATAGGGATTGAACGGAACCACAGATATGTGATGTGCTGAGAGTTGCTGTGGCCTTGTGGCCCGGACAGTAAAACCCAGGATCTGTGCGTGGTGATATTACAATTACAATTAGTGGCTTCACATCCAGCTTGTGGGACTGTGATGCATATGACTTAAGGCAAGTAACGTTGTCATCATGAACTACCTCTCTTTACCAAGGAGTAAATGGGTACCCGTGAGGGTAGAGACGGCCTCGCAAGCAAGTCATTTGTTCTCAAATGACAGCATCAAGCTGGGTGTTCCCTAGGGAGCTTAGATGGTCTTGTTAATGTCCTACGTGTAAAGTGGAGCTGGGATGATATTACTATGTTCATATTTGCACTTTTTAAAATGACTGCCACCGTTATTGTGTAAATTCGCTTACAATATTCCCATTACTTTGCTTTGGCTCAGATAGAGTGATTGTTCTTGTTCCTGGTTGCAGGAAACTAACCAGTAAGCAGCGGGCGTTATTATTGGCATTCGCTGAGGAGGAGACAGGTGTGTCAGGAACGATTGATGGAACTACCAAGACTGGCGATGGTAGGTGCCACTGTCCCATGAACTGTCTTGGTAGCACAGTCACTAGAAGCTGTGCTACTCTGTCACTGTTGAGCATGTTACTCGTGAAGCGTGGAATGGAAAGAGGATTTGAAGTCACATGGTCCGCATTCAATTTGCACAGATGTGCACGGAGACGCGCGCGCCTTTGAAGTCTCTTGAAGATTAAAAAGGTTTGCCCCTCCACGGACAGGGTTCGCTTCCTGAAATGCCCTCGCCTGTCATGTTAAGTCACATGTAAAACCTCTATAGGTACAAATTTTGAGCCCTATTTTTGAGGCTGTTGTAATGTATAGATGAATTCGGTAACCATTGAGTAGCACTAATAGTGGTCGTTTCAAGTGGCCCACGCCAGTGGCGTTAAGCATTGTACAACTGTTACGCTGGACCACTGTTCTGTGACAAGTTTGCTTCGATGTCACCTTGGGAAGGCGTGGTTCAGTGCATTGGTTGTTCTGTTCAGTTATAAACCCTGAATTTACTCCCTGAAAACATTTCTGAGAGAAAGCTGCTTGCTTACTACCGTGTACTCACACAATAATAAATCACCAAAGAAAAGAAAATTTAGGCCAGCAAAATCTGAAAAAGTTCAGTAGTTTTGAGTGAAAAGACCAATGTAACATTGAGTTTTCTTCCAAGGATGCCATAACAGTTTTTCTCATGAATATGGACATCTCATTAACATAAAAATAAAAAAGGCAGCAAAACACCCTTTAAAATAGTGAAACAAATATTGTAAATTAGATTACCCGAGAAACAACGGTTCATTTTGGAGGTTTGTATTAAAGAGATTGTATAGCAGTGCCCCTAGGAAGGTAGGATGGGTCCTTTTTACCCCATATCTTTGGTGCAAACCAAAGAGAGCTTGTCAGAAACCTGTTTATAGATTTACCTATTCACGTACACAACTGTTCCCATAAGCAACAGTTCAGTTTCAACCGTTCCTTGGTTTCATTGTCGTGGGGGAAAACACAATCAGAACCCCTCTCTTCTGTTTGTCTCTCCGTCCTTAGAATCACAAACAGAGGAGACTCTGTCCGATGAAGAGAAGGAAAAAGAGCCAGGATTCTTCCGCAGGCTTATTGAACGTGTCCGGGGTTTTTAGGCCTAGAATAGCAGTCCCATCAGGTAGGCAAATGACTTGCTTTCAAGTGTGCCTGCAATTTTCTCATTGCAGAAGTCTTAATTCAAGGTCATTGATGGTACCTAAGTTTTCATTGACTGAACTGAAGCGTTTTGGTTTGGTTTTGAAAAGTTCTCTATTCATCTGTCATCAGTGATTAACTGTGTTTTAGTGAAGTTTGAAGTTTTTTTTCTGTTTGGTGTTTCAAATCCCACAAGTCATTTGCCTATCAATCTGGAATATAGTCGAACCTCATTAATAAGACGCCCTTTGGACTTGGCAAATTACCTTGTTATTACTTTGTCATAAAAGGAACCTTGCATTATCAGGAATGAAAATAACGAAAAACAAATGATTAGGACCTTCAAAATTCCTTGTTTTAAGCAGCATCTTGTGTTAACAGTGCTCTTATTAACGAGGTCCAACTGTACATAGTACATTTTTGTGTGAGACCAAGTAAAGTTTCCTTGCAAATCAGATGTACATGTAGTCTGAATCTTTGACAGGAGATTCCTATTGTAGCTTTCCCTGATATAATGCTCTTTCAGTAAACCACTTAAACTTCCCCAGCTGTTTACCCACTGATCTTGCACATAGTTTGATCGGAGGTTTTACTGAGCTCATGTTTGAAGCTCATTTTTAAACATCATGCTCAGGATTTTTCAGACCCACATGCACTGAAAAAACATTTTCCAATGGTTTCGGCTATAACTTCAAAAAGTTTCAGTGTGAGATTTGTTGTAAAGGTGAAGTGGTTTATGTATTGACGTGGTTCCAAAAAAGGATTAAAAAGTTGATCCATTGTTGCTTAATTTACACAGTGACATAGGGCCGTATTAGAAAATACATATACAGTATACTCCAAGTCGACATCGCGTAACCCGTCATATCGTCCAAGTCGGCCGTTTCACAAAAGTCACGATCATTTATAATGCATTTCCATTGAAAATTTCATTTCTAAGTTGGCATTTATTAGTCGTCATTTCGTATATGTCGGCATGTTTTTCTCAGTCCCTTTTCCACAAAACCACAAAAATTCCTTTGTGTAAGTCGGCATTTTAAAAAAGTTGTGCTTCGGTATCGGTTTCCTGATCCTTCACCGCGGTTGCCAAAAAGTGTCAAGTGACAAGTCCCATGCGTGCATGGCCAGCATGAGTACATCGATACCAGTAACCCATCTAGTGCTACAGGCATCCGCTCTGTCCATTACAGGGGTCGCCTTATTGAACGTAGTCTGGTTCCCTGCCCAAAGATTCCCGGACGACCCTTGATAATGATTCGTCAGGTAGTCAGAATCGTCGGGTCTGGTATCCAGACTATATGGAACCAACTTAACCAATGCGCGTGTGGATGAGAGTGTTTTCTGTACCGTAACTGTATCACGTACTTGTACATATGAACTGCACTGTCAAGTCCTGATGTGATGTGCAAGTTGCTTGCTGTCCTTGCTTCATCCTTAGGGGCAAATGATCAATTATTGAATTTGCAGGATAATATTCGAGAACAAATTTGCTGGGATCGACCATGGAGGTACAAATAAACCAGGGTACATCAAAGCCATTGAATTAGTGCAAAGAATTCTAATGTACATAGGCAATACATGTGTACATGTAAGTTGGCAAAATGACGACTTACAACACAAGTCGGGGTTCATGTGAGTCACCATAATTTCTTGAGTCCCGAGAGTGCCAACTAAGCCGGAGTTTACTGTACATGTACAGTGTAATAGGAAACACTGGAATCATTCTGTCAGACTTAAAAATGGCTTCTTAGCCCCATTTTTGTTTGGAATTTTTAATAAAACCAGCTTTTAAAAAATTTTGTCGGTTTATGGAATTCAGGAGCCAAAATTGCTACATCGGATCCCGATGGTCTCATCAGCCAGATCCGAAGCTGCCTGCACATGACCTCCGACCTGTCCGACATCCCAGCCCGCAAAGTAGCCAACAATATCGACGATACAGAGGACGACACAAAGCGCACCTCGTCCAAATCCTAGCAGTGCGTCTCTTCCTCAGTAAATGGGGGGGTAATAGATCGGGTTTGAGAACATTGGGCCCCAGTTGGTGTACCATTGGTGAGTAGAAATGTAACACACATGCACATTTGGTATGTAGCTAATTTCCTGGTCATCTGACTATAGTTGAAAAGCACACCTGTCTGTGGGAAAAGTAAAGCCCTTGGTTTGCGGATCCCATAGGTGCAAGTGATATCGTGAGCACACCAAGAAATGCAGCCATGGCTATACACTCATTTGTGTGGCATCTGTCATCTTTGAGGTTGGTTGACCTATCCCACACTTTACTTCTCCAGCTTGGGTTCCTTTATTCCTTAATCTGCAGAAATCCAAGACTATGCGGTGGTGTATTTGATTTTACATAAGTAGACATTAAGACATCAGGCCCCATTTGAATTGGTGGCATGGTCATTCTGATGAAAGCCAGATCTGATTTGGAAAGCTGACTTGTTCTAAAGTACCGAAGTTCACTTTACATTTTAAAAGTTTTTCCTCGGTTTCTCTTTTAAATGACCTCAAATTGTCCTGGGTCTTGGTGAATTTTGACAGATGGCAAACATACAACAACCTGAGGTTTTTGATTAACAATGTTTTTATTTATTCTTGAAATATGTATTGATATTAAGGAAAACATTAAGTAGAACACGCTTGTGTAATCAAACCCAATACAAGAGCACTTTGAATACGTCCTAATTAGAACAAGGAAAATTTTTGGTCCATATCTTGGATCCTTTGTTTTCCAATCTAGGTAATACAAGGCCCCAGTTTTTACAAGACAATTTATTAAATCCCAAGGATGTTGTTATAAAGGGGTTTGACTGTATTTTGTTTTCCTTTTTGCATTTTCTGTGACTATGATGATACTGATGGGAACTGTGACATTGTGGAAGTCTAAGTACATGTATATGCAAATAATAAATGTTTGAAAACAATGGTAAGAATATTTCGAAGCCAAGTAGAATCGAACATTTCATCTGTCACCTCGTGCAATTAAATGTATTCTTTACTGTTGCACGAATCCCCTTTTGTTAGTGGAACTAATAGGTCCCGCTTGCCTATAAAGGTCCATCTTTTACAAAATAGATTCATGCCTGAAGCGCTACCCACTGGTAGTACCCCCATGCAATGTAGACTGGTTTCCGTTCCAACGTTACTTCCTCATTTTATTTGGAATAACATACAGTGGAATGTCGCTATAACAAACACGACAGGGTCCACAGAAAATGTTCGGTATAACAGTCGTTTGGCATGGCAATTTTCAGTCACCAATGTACGAACCATATCCAAACTCCGGCCCATTCATGTGTGTGTCAGCCCATTCCACAAAAAGTTTCAAATGAGGATTTTAGGCCAAAATTTACCAGCAATAAGCTAAAAAAAAATTAAATTCCTGCATTTAAACAAATTATGTTAATCTCCTTTCATGTTTCAACTTTTGGTTGTCCTTACTGGCAGTAGAATTGCAAAATGAAATCAATTTTTCTTGTATCATCACTTAAAATCCCCATGTGACATGTACATGTAGAAACAATTCCACTGGTTCCTGTTCTTAAAATGGCACTTACATAAATGGGCAGCGCCCGGAACCATTCCAATATAGTAGCACTGTAAGTGTACATGTCCGAAATTGGCAACAAAAGATCAGCCAAGCATTTTTGGAAACAATAAAAAGTAGTGAGATATTTATCGAAGCTTCCTGCAAGTGAAGTATGCTAGTATCTGTCTTTGCATTAGTTTCCCGTTTGGTGGTTTTTGAGCTCAAATCTCCAGGCTTTGTAGAGATCATCATGCAAGGTTTTATATACTAGAGTCGGCAGACATTGTATTGCATACACGGACATACGTGTACTCAGCAGCCAGTCTATGTGGCCACCTGTGGATATACATGTAGGCACATTACATGCTGTGTACAGTACGCTATCCACTGACGATACAGACTGCGTCACGTGCTGCCCGTTGTTCCATCATGAGTGCCATTTGCTTCAACTTTGAGTAATAATCATCGGTTCCAAATGTGTTTTTTTTTATTTAAAAACAAATCTGAAACGTTCAGCAAGAGTGCACCAAAAATTCAAGAGCCAAGGGGGATGTTCGGTATTCCCGAATGTTCGATATACCAGGTAGTGGTGCTCGTTATAGGGACGTTCCACTGTATATGAAATGGGGGTGGGATCCAGTCAAGTAAAATGTGATCAACAATCCACCAATCAGATGATAGGGATTTATGCAGGTATTGTAGATGTATCTCTCATTAAAATTCCAAATTAACCCTAACAGTCCCAAATTCTCCAATTTCAATACGATTTTACATACACCCCAGGGGGTTAGGGTTAAACGTACAGCAGTAACCCGAGATTGCATACAGATACCAAGAATAAAAATACGGACCTAGTTGAGGTCTGAAGTCCTGAAGTATCAAAATTCACCTTGTAAAGCCTGTGAAGGATTCTGATGAATTTGGGGTAACAAGAGATGATAAACATTTCAGAAATACTTTGAAAATTGTGGATTTTTGAAAAGGAAGTGCATAGAAAATGTGGAAAAAATACATGTACAGTACGTGTATTAATTTCAGAGCTGAGAGAAACCATTTTGGAGGTTACAGAAATGGATCATTTTTCAAATGTCTGCTTTTTATGCTCAAATATGTGCAGAAATAAATAAGACCATAAAATTATGTGGAGAAGGACCATTGCAAACAGGGTTGTTCAATTGGCAATGATTTGTATGTATATATAGCATAAAGTTGCAATGAATGTTGACGTCTTGAATACAGATCTTCCAATGCCCTAACAAAGTAGAGAAGCATGAACAAGTATACAGGAGGTGGATTGGGCAGCCAGGTATTGCATGTATTGTATTATCCAATACAGAACCTGAGTTAAGTGGGAATCGATAGGGGACTCGAACAATCCGTGCTGTCGTTGCCACTCTCTGAATGTTTGCTTCAGAAATGCAGCAAATTTGCCTACAATTCTTGTTTTGCCCAGCGCAACAGACAAGAGAGAGGTCTCAATGCAAGGATGTCAACGAACATTATGTGTTACTTTGTACATTGCAAGATTACTATGAAATGATAAAATTCCCAGTTGGTCCCTGGAAGATTTTAAATTAGTCCTGATACTTACAGCACCCATCACATAATCTCTTATGAAGTCTTAACATTTCTGTCCGTTTGTTTTTCAGTGGACTAGATGTTTCGCTACTATATTCAACACCACTCAGAAAAACCATTTTCCCAAGTTTAAAATCACCAATATTGTATAACATCTAAAATACATGGTCTTCAGTTGATGATAAAAAAAAAAGCACATGAACATGCCCCTTACGTTTAGTTTTTCATAAATTCTTGGCCTATTTTATATTTGTCTGACAAAACATCTAGCAAAATGCAGACAGTTATGTCACACAACTTCGAACAAAACATCCCTCAAAGAGATCACAAGTAAGGTTGTATTCACATTAGCTAAGCATTTAAGGGCTTTTGCATTACCACTGAGACTCCAAAATTCTGCAACATGAAAACTTTACGATGAATAATGCATAAAAAGTTGCAAATCAACAAAAAATACGTGTACAAAGAACGGCTGGATAAATATATATAAAATACACACTTGCATATTTACACTACCTGGCAAGTCGCTACTTTTTTCCGATACAGATATCTTTGGCTATGGCAGGCACTTTGTTCATTTCAGAGTATGATTAGTATCCCCACTGCTTTGGAACATTACCAGATGGGATCCTTGGTTGGTTTGTTTTTTAAAAGCACCACCTTCACCGTGCACCATCGCTTCAGATGTCAGGACACACAACCAGATTCCATGGTTAGGTCTATGGATGTGGTAAACTTGGCTGTATGTCCATGCCGCAGCCCGTTTATGTATCCATGGAGACCAAGGGCCCATGATGGCATCCATTTGCCATTAATCTGTGTGTAACTGGCAGCTGCAGCCAATGCATACTTACAGATGCAGCCTTATTTACACCATGGCAGCAGACTGTGTGGGAAGGAACATTTTCAAAGGCATGTCTGTACGCTGTTTTGAGGATAGTAACCCGAAGCTGCATCAGTCTGGTACCCAACATCAGCGTCTACTGCATCTTGTGTCAGTGATTGCAATTCACCGTGTCCATAGTTAGTGTAGACCTCACCATTCTTATGCCGCACCAATGTACTGATTGGATAAACTTGGTCACCGCTGCCGCGGCAAGTGCTGTAATCACTATAGGCATCGCGGTTACGTGCTGCCATTCTTGTGTCCGTGATTTCCATTGGGTCTTCAGTGATAGGCGAGAGAATCAGTGGCGTGCCACTGTTCCGGTAATGTTTATTGTTCACATGGTCCTGGGGAGGCGTGTTATGCGAGTTGTTCAGGGGATGTCGCTGCTTACCCGAATTGCCCCTTGCTACAGTTCCATAATTTCCATTGTAATGGCTGTCTGTTCCTACTGAACCGTTGCTTCTGGAGTAGTTCTGAGCAGATGCATAGCCATAGTTATCACGGTAACCCCTTCCTACATTAGTGACAGGTGTCTCATCAGACCATGACACACTTCCTTTATTACTGCTGGGCATCTGGGTGTTCATGTCATAACCCACAGATTTGTCAGCATACAAGCTGATTGGCCTGTGGATAGGCTGCTGTGGGATGATGCTTGCTGAAGCAGAGCGAGGTCGACGCGGCAGCTCTTGGTGGTTCCAGCACTGGTCTGAGTGGCCGAGTGTGGCACATTCTGGGGTGCAGTGGGGGCTGGCCATGTAATGGTCCCTGGATGGAATTTGGCCTAGGTGGATTGAAACAGGATCATTAAACTATTGTCACTGATAATCGGCATTACATTAGACAGATGACTGCCCTGTAAATTGATAGAGATACTGGCTCAGGTTCATGTCTCCTTTAAAAACCTTTTGATTAGTTGCTATACAGATGGGCATGACCACCACAAGTCTGGTTCTCATACGTTCGTCTTCAGTCTTCAGTAAAATTCTAATCAAGGTTCTACCCAATGCTAGGCCACATATTAGGGCATACAGCATGTACTCTGCTGAGTACATGTACTCTGTTTATACAGGGTAAAAGTGATGACTGAATTTGGTGGACAGAAACTGAAACAGTGGAGCTGGGCCTGTATTTCATGTAATGTTAGCTTCATGGTGGACAGTTTGGCTTAGAGAAACCAGTTTATCAGCTGAAACTGTTCATGTCTTGTGTTTCATCCTGTTTTTGCTTGGTTTCTGAGCTATCATCAACGCCTGTGTATTTGTCATGTGGTATTTTCCCTTAGCTGCTAAAATGTTGACGTTTTCTCGAGTTTCATGCCAAAAGAATGAATGTTACCTTGACCACTGAGGCCAGAGAGCTTTGGGCAGGAGGAAGAACGAGGTGCTCCACGTACAGAATGCTGGATTGGGAAGATGTCTTGAGTGGAGTCATGCTCGTCATGATCTCCTTGCCCACTGTCATAGCTACTCCTGTTGGAGTTATCACTGACTGCATCAGTCTCTGTACGCAGAATGGTAAGGAGCTTCTGGACCTGTCAATTAAAAAGTACACGTAGGGTCTTAAGTCTAGTTCAATGTGCATATCGTCAAACATTTAAACAATGGTTCAACTCAGTTAAGGTGATTGATTCTTCAAACCTCCAGCTATGAAATGATTGGGGTTATTAGTTGTACCTGGCTTAAAGTCAGGTACAACTTGGTAGTTGAATCTGAGCAAGGGTAGTCCACTTCACTGTATCCTGGTTTTGCATTTGAATTCCATTTCATCACACTACAAGTTTATATGGTCATTTGGGCAAGCCTCACATCAGAAACCTCCAGCTATGAAATGATTGGCGTCTGTGTGCCATGTGAACCCAAGGTGGAAATTATCTTTATGGTGCTTATTGGAGCATCTTTTTGCAGAATAATGTAAAAAATGAATAAATGTTGAAACTGTCTAGCTCAAAGAATTTAGATTTAAAGACATATGAACATGAAGTTCACATTTTTCCCATTTAACTGGCACAAAAAAAGGTTGCTCACAAAATGCCTTATTTCAAGAAACAGTTTACCTCGGCATCAGTATCTGGTGTCCGTCTTGCGACTGTATCAGACATGACATCGGAGTTACTTCCAAATGTTGTCATCTGATGGTTACCAAGCCTGGAATCCAGTGTTCCATTAGCCTGTGCTGCCTGGGCCCGCCACTTCATGATATTCTTGGATTGGACCGAGCCAAGGGATGCTGTGACGGACAGACGAGAAGAATCAGTTGACAGCTTCCGCTGGGGAGTCATGTTGTGCACTTCGGAGAAGTAGTCGGTGCTGGTGCGGCTATCACTGCTTGGCAAGTCAGATGGAACAGTGTAGACCTGCTTTGGTTTGGTCTTGGAGCGGCGCTTGAAGTGGACAAGGAGGAAGATGAGTACTAGGAGGATGAACAGAGAGCCAAGGACAATGGCAGTGATGACAGGCCAGGAGGAGAGAGGACTTGCATGCTGAGTGCCATCATCGTCCCTGTCGCCACTATTAAATTTGTCCTCAAGACCGAAATCAGCAGCAGTGAGATTGAAGCGTTCAAAGAACACTGCAGCAGGGAGAGAAGTGTTGAAATCCAAATCAGTGATGACTACAATCAACTCCAGAGGAGTGATCTGGGTGGGTGTCCCGCCATCTGAGATCTGAATAGTCACCTCGTGAGCACCTTCCCACGAGCTGGCAATTTTCTGAGTCGTGAGCAGCTGGCCAGCAGTATTGATGCCAAAAATGCCAAGTATGTCACCGCCGCTGATACTGTAGGAGAGCTGGCCGTTCATCCCCTGGTCACGATCAGAAGCTTGGATAGGGACCACTAGGAAACCGGCCTCTGCCGATTGAGGTATGAAAAAAGTGTCATTGCCCATGTTTGGGGAGATAACCTCAGGAGCATTGTCATTCTCATCCCTCACGGTGATGCTAACCAGCACCTCCGATGTCTGTGGTGCTATGCCATGATCTGCCGCAGTCACGGTAAATTGAAATTCCTTGTGCTCTTCAAAATCAATCACTCTGGTGGTTACAATCTTCCCAGTTTGTGGAACAATGTGAAAGAAATCACTCGCACCATTGGAGTCGGCTTCTCTGATGGCGTAAGTCAGCTGAGCATTCGGCCCGGTATCTTCATCTGTTGCTTTTGTGAAGCCAACAACTGAATTGACAAACTGATTCTCTGGGATGCTGAACTGGTAACCTGGTTCTTCAAAAACAGGCTGGTGATCATTCTGATCTTGTACGTCAATGATGACAGTAGCATTGCTACAGCGAGTAGGAACTCCATGATCACAGGCACTGAGGAAAAGACTAACCGAGGACTGAGCCTCACGATCGAGAACAACTTCTGCGGTTATCACTCCCGAAGAAGCATCAACGGCAAACATGTCTCTTTGTGTCCACAGCTGATAGGTAATATCTGCATTTATTCCTTCATCAGGATCACTAGCTGATAGAGTAGCAACGGGTAAGGACAGATGATTGTTCTCATCAACATTGGCATAGTAAATAGGTGTAGCGAAATAAGGGGGATTGTCATTGATGTCCTCGACAATAATCACAAGATGGCTAATGGTTGTCTTGGGTGGAGATCCCTGATCCATCGCCTGAATTGATATGTTGTAGACGTCCACAGCTTCCCTGTCTAAGGTCCGAAGAGTGCTGAGGAAGTACTGTCCATCACTGACCTCTTGGAGGCCAAAATCAGAGAGGGTGTTGGATAAAGAGATGCGAACCCTTCCACTGCTACCACCATCAGGATCTGATGCTTTGACAAATGCTACAGGTGTGCCCGTTGGGGTGTCTTCAGAGATATACACCCAGCCGTTGGCTCCAGCTTCCAAAGCATTTACTGTTAGTGATGGATAGTTGTCATTGATGTCGATGATGTTGATGGTGACAGTGGTGAAGTCGGGTACTGGATTGGTCACTCTGTTTGCAGCTCTGATGACAAGTTGGAAGCTCTGTTGCTGCTCGAAATCCAGGAGTCCTTTGACAGTGATCATCCCAGTCACTTCATCAATCTGGAGCACTTGACGAGTGGCTTGGGTCACACTGCTGCTGAACGAGTACTCAATTTGTCCATTGGTGCCCCAGTCTGGATCCATGGCTTCCACTTGCAGGATTTCAGTGCCGACTGCCGCATTCTCCTCGATGCTGACCACGTAGTTAGGACGCAGGAACTGTGGGGCATTGTCGTTGGAGTCAAGGACTGTGACATTCAGGATGACAGAGCCTGTCTTGGGAGGGTCCCCTCCGTCATGAGCCAAGAGGGTCAGCAAATAGCTACTGCGCGTCTCGCGATCCAACTCACCTGTTACCTCAAGCTGTAACGACACAGAGTTGTCGGCGTAGCGTTGGACAAAGAGCCCAAACTTACCACCAAAGTCATTCAACAGGGAATACTCTTGCACGGAGTTGACACCCACGTCCGGGTCCTCTGCCGTCTCCAGAGGGATTTTAGTCCCAAGAGCGATGGTTTCGGGTATCTCCAGCGGCAAGATGGCTTTGCTGAATTTTGGAGGGTGATCGTTCACGTCCTCAATAATCACGGTGACCCGTATGAAGTGATACTGGGAAAGCGGCGAGACCAAGACTTCCAGCTCATACTGACATGCCGTGCCGCTGTTGAGAGCACAGATGGTCTCCCTGTCGATCGGCTGCGTGGTTGAAATATCTCCCGTTTCACCATTGAGAAGAAAGTAAGTTTGGTTCTCCCAAGTGGCCGTGAGGAGCTGAAAACGTGTGTCCTGAGATGTCTCGATGTCGAGATCCGTTGCCAAGTTCCCCACAGTGTAAGCCTCATGTTCCTCCATGACAGTATAGGTTATCTCTTGTGTCCAGGCTACAGTCAAGAGATTGCACGTGAAGATGATGCACAGTATGGATGCTGAATGGGCCATTGTTCAAGGATGCTCACTTCAGTTCAGCAGGCAATCGATGACTGTCGTTTTATTTAGAAGGTATCTTGCTCTTTGATTCCAGCCAGCCTGCTGAAGAAAAAATGCAAATGTTATATTACTGCGAAGAATACTCAATTTTAGAGGGTTGAAAGGGAAACAATGCCAATATAACCAACACTGACTCGTAAAAATGCACAGACATGCATTGAGTATTGTGAAATCAGTGGCGTATCCAGCTGGGGGTGGATACAAGTGTCCCCCGGGAGACGCAGTGTTGCCCTTTTAAAAAATGAATAGATTTAAAGCGTCCACATTTTCAAAACGTCACTACCACTTTTCCTAGGGTAGTGAGGATTCTTTTACAGATAATAAAACAAAATGGACCGTTGTTTTCAGGGGAAAATCACATTCTGTACTCTTCGTCCATTCAAACTGGATCCACCCACTGTGACTATCAACCATCCGTAGAATACACTGTGCTTCTGTTGTACAGAACATTAATCTCAGACCTCCAAAAGCGCTAATTACGCACGCAGCTGATTAATGTTACCGATACCGATCGATAAACTCTTACTGCTATAATCGATGAAGCACACACGCTTGTACATTCTAAATACAGCTCCTGGCCCAGAACAGGATATAGTATTTGTTTTAATCAGAATATGATTTTTATATCGAGAATTTCGGTCTCCTCTTTAATTTAATTCTCGAACTTAGAAAAAAAACGCCTTAATCTACCTTGCAGCAATACTCATTTTTTGTCATTATACATGTACGTGTACAAAGTTGCAAAATGACGTAACCTAAAAAAAATCCCACCACTGTATCAAAACTACCATAACCAGTTTCTAAACTCCAGTTGAAGAATTCCTCGCAACAAGCACCGTCTGGGTACTTCAACATAACATAGTGTCACAACCCTCCGAAGTTATGAGAACTAATAGAGACGCAGCGCTTAACAAGGCTTCCATTATTATTACAACCGCGGTGTTTCATCTGTAGCCAATACCGATATCCAGGTTGTCAAAGCCATTGACATTTGAACATGCATTATTTGTCTTTCTGGGTTCTTTAATTAAGGAGAGGCATGCCAGAGCAGCCTGGACCCCACGCTGGGACCACTATCCCTTACAGTATCGGTTACCCGCCTGGGCAACGGGAACACTTTCGAGGGGGTTCTGGTTAATGCGGCTTGTACCAGTGCACATTCTGCGTCGATCATGAGTAATGCATCTGAAGTTTACTTAACCTTCCGTGAAAGAGTTCAGAGCGATGAGGGAAGTGGTCCATTTTCGGAATCTGAAAAATGAACTCTTTCTTGTTGTCATAATCATAATCTGTTCATACCGGTATATAATGGCATGTGAGAAATTACTCCAGTTCAGGAGCTGTGTGGTGTGAACAGTGTGAACTTTTTAAGTAGATTTTCTCCTTTTTCTTTTATTAACTTTCACAAAATGTAATCATCTGAATGGTATTAACTTTTGGGGATAAATATCGCCGGAAATGATTACCAACAAAGTTCTTATTCTGTCCTTCTTAACGACGTGATTATTCGTGAAAATGGATCATGCTAAGAGATTTGTTTCTTGTTTAAATTTTACCCTGCCCAAAAGCAGCACGCTTAACCTCCTGTGTTCGCGGTGCGCATGCGACGTGCGTGTTGTGGACGCTACAGCCAGTGATCAAGTTGTGACCGACCTCTGACTACGGGTCTCATGGCCCCTTAACCCCGTCCAGATTAAGCTAAATCCCGGCCTTATTATTCCAAATCCATCCCCCAACCAAGGACAGGTAATTCTTTTTGCATCAATCACACCCACAAAAGACTTATTCAAAATAAATCATCAAACAGCAGATACATCCCGGTGCGTTTCACTATGGTTTCACATGGTACTGTTTTCGTGACTATGGAGCTACATACAATCGACGGCCGATCTTCGATGCTGTGGAAACGGCAGACTTGAATGTTGGTTATTAAATAGGTTCAAAAACATTCAGAGAAAAGTCTCTAGAGGCCATTCATGAATCTTCTGCATAACAAATAAGATTTTTACATAATTGGCGGAAAATCTCACCGATCCCAAAGTTTTGTCAAGCTGTTAAACTTTCCAGTGTAGATCTGTTCGTTCCTCTGAAATTCATGAACTGTTTCGAACATGACATTGATGAATGCGTTTCATTAAAATCGTTTATTAGATACAAAACAACAAGCCTGAATTGCCCCTGAGTCAATGTACTGAGCAGGCTGACATCTGTTCGTATTTTTTCGAAGGAGATTACGAGGATGTTTTTTCCCGACTCCGGACTTTCTGACTTTATGCTTTCAATAAAATTGCTGGGTGTTGAAAAGCAACTATTCCAAAAACTTTTTGCCTGAAGCCACGTCTCGAAATCGAGACCCGAAAATCCAAGGACTGTAACCACAAGGAAACCGAAGCAACTGGCAAACAAGCTCACCTTTAAAAAATATTCCATCAACGTGTGCCTAATGCATTAACGATCGATTAAGGCACGTACCCAACTGAGACCGTACCCAAGTAATCAGTGCACCCCTTGTGGGAACCAACCACCCCAAGGGCAAACCAATTTCCAAGGGGACATTTCTCCACGATTTTTGTACCGATAACGAGTCATTTCGAGTGCACCTTGCGAGTGTAGATGACTGCGTGCCTCGCCGCCGGGCGTGGGTCGACGCGGCTCAATGTCAGGGGAGACCGTTCAAACATTCCACGCCGAAGTCTCACTGACACGTATTAATGACTGCGGGCCTAATGATAATGCCACCTCTCTCCTGTCATATTTTTAGTGCAACAGAGTCTCCATTGTTTCAGAATGAAGCGAACTCGAGCTTTAAAGCATTTTCGAACCCATTTGCTTTTCTCTAATTAATCATAAACAGCAAAAATGCACTGCAAACTGCTGGAGTTCCGACAAGGGTTAACTGAGATGGATGCACCTATATATCGGTCTGACAACATTGAGTTTGAAAGGATATAACCCAACCCTCAAAGGAGAGAAGAACTTTGTTCTATTGCCCGAGAGAGCTTAGACCAGGCCTACATTCCACCAACAGAGAGCTCGGTTGACGCCAAGACGGTATAATCGTAGAGCAAAATGCTAAGGTTTAAATTACAACACTGAGTGAACAAAAATTAAGGCGTGGGACCCTCCAAGTCTGTAAACGAATAATGCAATTGATTTTCTCAGAACCACTTTTTGTGCATGTTTAAACTTATCTTCGATGTATGAACACTGTTTAAAATTTGTTTGCAGCTCAGTGGACTGTTAAGTGAGGGCGCTGCTATTGTGATCTAAATCCAGGATGACACTGCTGTCATGTTCAAATTTTGGACCAGAATTCACCCTTTGAAAACATGTCTGAGAAAAGGCTATTCGCTGGTTTATAGTCAAAACATACTTGTACAACAAAAACCTTAAGGAGATGGAAATGGGTGATGGCGACGTATAAGAATCTAGCAATTTTGTGTACCTAGATCAATGCGACAAACGGTTCAGTGCCTCGGATTACATCACAGCTTTGCTCATGAATATCAATCTCTTAGCATAAAACAAGAACCCTCTAAAATACAGGTACAGATAAAAACAGCGAAACAAAAATTGAAAATAAAGTCAATTGTAACCCAAAGGTGCAATTTCTAGCATTTTTGTAAAACCTTTCTGATGTGGTCCCTTTAACGTTGGTATGCTTATGCTGTCATACATGCAACAGCCAGCCCCTCCCTCCAGGCACCATGAACACCGCAGAGCCTCGCCTCAACACCGCACCTTCCTCCCTCTCAACAGATGTATCGGATGCAAATCCCTGCCTAGCAGGGGTCTGGCTCCGAGTAATGACAGGACCTGAACTGCCGGTGGCAAAACGGTTTACAAGCCTTGAAGCATTGAAAGCATTGTCCTACACGAAACCAACAAGTTTGAATTCATTGTGGAATTATACTTTTTAAATCTGTCATTGATTGAAATTTGATGTTCGGTTTGTGTATACTCAGTTGACTTTCAGAAAACAAGCAACTCCACTATCACGCATAGCGGCATATTACGACTAAGAACGATGGCAAGCTTCCTAGCAAAACGATCTAATTTCTGTCTCAATAGTAAATAGACGGTTCACTACAATGTATATGCCTGATGAAAAATTATTAATAAATAAATGACAAAATACTTTCTGTCGCCCTGCCATCAATGCATGCCTTTAGATCGGCAAATCTGAGTACGTGTAGGCCTACATGTAACTTCTTCTCCTGTTGAGCAAGAGCCGCATATACTCAAGACATTTGACGACATAAAGATAATCACGCGTCAAGATTCGCTAAATCCGAAGGCACAGCCTCTAATATTGTCCTTGACAAAACAACTTCCGTACGACCTCCTCTGGACGCCTTGTTAAGTAGCAGAGAACGTACAAGGCTAGCAGCAGAAGATGCAGTCCCTGGGTGTGATGCAGCCATCTGGTGCTTGCGATGAGCTCGTAACAATTAGCTCTACATCTAAGTCAGCTAATAGTGCGGCCTGTCGCTGCATTATTACAAGACATAGCAACACACAATCAATGCATCGATCGAACAACTCAGAAGGGCAGGCTGCCACGAGCGGACGATCGATGCATGACCAGCCCTGATAAACTGAAGAGATCCATGTACGTGTACACGTAGTACATACATGTTCTCATAAGTTGAAAAAAAACACCAGAGCATCAAGCCCGGATGTAGGGCCTATCGTTCGTAGATATACTGTTTATTGGGGCAGACCATTGCTTACCAAAAACTAAAATTCCTACATTGTCTTCTCCCCCGGGCCCCAAGAGAGGACAGTTTATAATAGGGCTCAGTGAATAAATTAATAATACTCTAAAAGATCCACCAAAACAAACATTGCCATTTCGAAGTTTCTCCATCTTTGTTATGATTAGTTGAAAAAGGCAGACGCTACGCTTCACAGGAAGTTAACAGTAACTCATCTTTGATAAACAACTGTAAGCACACGTTTGTTATTTTAAAATTGGGCAGTCTAAGGTTGTCACAAACTCATTTTACGGTTTCCAACGTTGAATGAACTGTCCTTTCGAAACCCACCACAAATTAATGTTAAGCATATCACACAGCAGTAAATGTATGGTGGGGAAAACATGGTGAGAAATATGGAATTTTGTGTTCACGCTGAATCTTTAAATAATAAATGGCACACGGTTTTCCGTAGAGTTTTTCGCTTTTCAACCACAGAAAAGGGGACTTGTTCAGCATTGGCATGAATGTGTCAAGAAAAATTCCACTTATCGGTTTCAAGTTATTTTCCCCTCGAATTGCCCCACATTAGACATTTCTTATCTTAAGCTGGGATAACAGTGAGGATTAACCGCTTTGTAATTTCCTTGAAAACAACGCTGGGCACCCGTTGCACACACACACACCGTCCTCAAAATAACGAGCTCGCAGGGAGTCCTCTCCGGCCAGATGAAAACCAGACCCTTATCTGACTAATCCTGAGGGGTGGTGTTGATACATATTGCCCAGTCCCCAACTTGGTTTTCGCCAAGAAGGAATTTCAGTCTCACTTGGCTTCATAAACGATCTCCTTTTGCTATCGGAAGTAGCAAGTTTTGCTTTCTTTCGGGTGCAAAATCCCTGGGCGAGTCTTAAACTTTCTGCACTAAATATGTTCCCAACGCCTGATTCTGCCGCAATT